CGATAAGTAATCGATACTGCAGATTTTGGAGGCAATAAAGATTGCAATTGCCTTTCGAGTCATTACCAACTATACTTCAATTTTATATATTTCACATATTTTTTCAATGTATTACAATTACATTATATTATTGTTTCGGATATTTTGTCTTGAGAAAAAATGCATGAATGTCTAATCAATAATAATCAATAACAAATCATTTTACGGCCTTTAATATTTTAGTATGTTCCTTGGGATTAGAAACTCTACCGCCATACGAAGTATCATTAAAATCACAAAAAAATCAATAAATGGCAATTACTAAAACCCGACCGATTTTTGCAAACAACTAATCACCACGATTACCATATGATATCTTTCGAATAGTTTTTGAATCTTTAAAAAAAGTTTCAGATTTTTCACAGTGAAATGAAAATTAAATATTTTTTTTTAATTTCAAAAAACGGCTTGACCGATCGTCTCGAAAATGGCCCTTGAAATTTTGAAATAGGAATGACTTCGAGTTCGACCGAGAAAATATAAAATTGGCAAATCGGATTTTCTGGCAAAAACATTAACTTCTCCTGAGGGATGTTAAAAATACAAAATTCTCAAATATATTATAATATTATTCTATCTTACAATTTGAATATGTCAAAAAACAAGAAATGTTTCTTTTCCGATAAATTCATGATTACTTTTATCCACAATTCCAATTTTTTAGACTTATTTATTCCAAACTAATGTGATACTAAATACCACTCTTTTAATAATTTATTTTTTCATTCTTCCTCCAGAAAAAAATAATAACTATTTTTTATTTACATGTTTATAATATAATTTAGAAAACTATTTAAATTACCTCATGTTACTAATTGAAATTCACTGATTAAAATTCCGCAAGTCTTTTCATTAAAAAGATAAAAATATTTGTTTTATTTTTTATACAAATAAATAGAAAATAAGTTGCTTAATAAACCACCATTTAATAATATCTGCATTGATTCTATAGATGAATTTATTGGACTGATAAAAAATACAAACGAGGTGTAAGAGGCATTTTGTCTTATGACAAGTTGCATGAACTTATGGATAAATCGAATTAATCATTATTTTTATTTATGTATGATCTGCCTGTCTGTCTCTCCGCTTGTATATCTGTTCACATTAATGTTTACCTGTATACATGTTTACCTGTATACATGTTTACCTGTCTACCTATCCACTTTTATATTAGTCTACATATCTACCTTGCTTACATGTCTACATTTCTACCTATTTACCTGTCTGTCTGTACACATATTTACCTGTAAACCTGCCCATCTGCTTACTTGTCTACCTGACATCTGTTGATCTGTCTCCCTGTCTAATTATTTACCAGACTACCTGTCCATCAGTTCATCGGTCTACCAGTCTGTATGTCTACTTGACTACCATTTTACCAGTTTACCTGTCTGACTGCCACCTATCTACTTTTTTACCTGTTTACCTTATTACCTGTTTACCGGTCTAATTGTCTAGCTGTTTACCTATATACCAGTTATAACCGATAAACTGCTTACCTGTGTACTTTTCTACATGTTTACCTGTTTTCCTATATACATGTCTACCTTTCAATTAAACGTAACTCAAAATAAAAAAAAGACAGACATAGAATTGCGAGAATATATTAAGTGATTATACGTAATACGCCAATTTACGTAATTTAAATAAATAAGAAAAAAAAGAGAAATTAAAAGATAAGTCATTTTAATTTACTGTTCTCGCTTATGATAATTTCAAAATTTAACTGTTTTTTATTGTTGATCCGCATTAATCCGCAATCAGAATTTTGCCATTCAAGCTGTTCTGATGACTTTTATTTGATGACCTATTGAAGTTTCGAACATTTTTTAATGTAAGGCAACTCAATAGTTGTACTTTCCTAATTGTGATGATATACCCTGAAGCAGCAATGCCCTGAAGGGATATTTCTAAAGGAAAATGGATATAACTACTGCTTGTATAAATGTTTGTGTGGGGGGGGGGGAAGGTCTATCTATCTATATTAACAAGAATCTTATATTGTCAATCAAATTTACAAATGCAGTTCCAACTTTTTCCCAATCAGATAACCGTGATTTCATGTTTCAATATTTGCTTATTCATGTGAAGCAAAATACTGCTTACATCATACCACATAATCTATCCAATACCCCGAGATACCTAGCAGGTTCAAAATCACTGGTCCAAAAAAAACATGATCCACCCTTGATACCCACACATAAACCTGTTCGTACACATTTTTTTCTATAAAAAAACGTGAATTTAAGTGATTCGCATCCGAGGACAAAGAATAGACTTTCTGGATTTATGTCCCCTCTACGAATAATATTTTTTTCGTTGTTGTTGTTTTTTTTTTCTCTCAAATGTTCTTCTATGTTCCTAGTTGGTTTATCAAAAGTCGCTAGCGATGTAATTTATTGTCATCGGCGACATATAGCGATACCTGTTCCCATGCGTGGGTTTTTATATAAAAACCTGATACCGAAACAGCATCTGAGGCGGAGATCAGGCACGCTCAAGATAAAGATATTTCGGTAAAAAAATGAAACTTTAATAAAATACTAATTTTCATATTATAAGTATTTTGTACATATATATTATTTATTAAGAATATTTTAATACATGCTATAAATTCATCATAGTGGGCACTAGGGTTTGTCAGTTTTTAAAATCTGGTTTTAAAACCCAGTTTTTAGGAGAAAACTATGCAATTCGCAAGTTGGTTTCTTAATATAAAATACCGGTTTTCAATGTATGAATTGACTCATAAAAAATGAAAATGGCAATTGTAGCCAAATGTACCAAATTGACAAAATACTGTTACAAATCGATAACCGTCCTTCGTTTCTCTGTTATAAAATTATTACAGCCTTATATGTAAAAATTATGCATAAACAATAAATAATTATTTGTTTTGGATGTAAATTTAGTCCTGGTCAATTATTTTTTGTTCTTCTAAATCACATAAAAATTATTATCAATAAAATTGATTAGTAAATAAATTTAGTCAAAAACTCCATGCAATCACTAAAAAAACTTCATTAAAATTTGTTTCTGTTACTCTTTGAGTTATTCGAGCAAATTGGATTTTTGGAAAAAATATTATTCGAAAATATCGGTTTTTGTTAAACCCTAATTGGCAGATTGGCACGAATAAAAAATAAATTAATCCAAATGATTGACCTTCCAATCCTAATCCAACATTGTTTTTTTTGTTCTGAAAGTTCATGTATCTGCAGCTTTCAATACTTGCAATAAAAATTGCAGAAATTCAGTTTTAAGTACAGTATTTTAAAAAATACTATGGGTGAGGAGTTTTAGGTTTTATTCTATCATGTCAGCATCTTAGCTATGTATTTATTATCTAAATTTATATTTTTGAGAAGATATCAAAAATGTTCCAACGAAATGATTGTAAATGAAAACTTTTTTGCGATTAATTAGTATTAAACTTTTAGACATTAAGCTTCTACCTCAATTGTTGACAGTTAAATAGCTTCTATTATTAATGTAATAAATATTAAAGAGAAATTTAATTAAATTAAAAAATTCTCCAATGGTGTGATAGGTGATTTTATTAAAACTAAAAATAAGGATAAAATCTCTATTATTTTCTAAATAAATGTAATAATGTTAGTATTACCGATAGATTCTATTAGTATGTGTATTAATAATAGATTCTTTCAATAGTGTTTGAAATAGCAAAACTAAAATTATAGATGAAATCTCTTAACTATAGTTTTTTGACAATGTAATAGCTTTAATTATAGAGGTAAAAATATTGTATAATTAAATTATTAACTTACAAGTTTCTACAAGCAGTACTCAAAAACTTGAAAATTGTTGATTCAATTTTGTTAAATATTATGAAAAAAATTACATATCTATCATTGTCTTTGTTTTCTATATAGCAATATATAAACAAAATGTAGACAATTGTAATTTAAAAAAAATAGATTGTTATCCTTAGTTTTTGTATTCATTTTAGATTTCATTGCATTTTTGAAGTATTGATGTTGTGATCACGTTCAAAACTCGTGTTTTAATTATTTTTATGTTAACCAGGTAAAGACTTGGACTAGCACAAACTTGACCCCGGTTTAATCCCAATCTCAGCCAAGCAATATATCAAGCAGTATGATATTAAACTTCTAATTGAGGTTATAGATACCAAATATAATCTCAATTGTAAATCGCCTTTCGCGGACATTGCTGCATCACATATATGTTAACACTGTGAGATTAAATATATATTATTTATATATAATATTTAGTATCAAAGTTTGATATATACATATATAGTAAATCAAACAAGAGTGGTTAACCACTGGGTTGTCCTCTGAAATAAAATAACTGATTAAGAATGAAAGTTAGAAAATGCATCTCAAAGAATGTAATTCTGACCAATGATTATAAAGATAAATATGTGTAATATGACGATATTTACAAATAATTGCAGTTATAGAAATAGTATGATTTTTTGAGGTGTTTCGATAAAGAGTTTTAATTTCTAAATATATTCTAAATTTGCATCTTTTAGATACTTTGACCAAGTCTGCTCTAAAGAATATAGCGATGCAGAAGAGACCGACCGGCTATTATTGAATCTAATATAGTAGAAAGTTTTCTGCTAGGCGTTGGGAAGCT